GTGTGTCATCAAATGGTTGGGCGGCAAATCGTCAATCCATCTTTCCCCCCCTTCGTCCCACCCATCCCCCTCAGCATTGTCCGCGCGCGGCGCAGGCACAACACTGGGCTCTGGAGATTCAAGAGACTCAAGCTGGGGAAGGTCCGAACCCCCCCCCCGGCGTGGGAAGCGAAGGTAAACCATGATGGAGGCCACAATACGATGGGCTTGGAGATAGTCGCCCTCAGGACTCGCCAACCAGGGCAGGTCGGAGGGCGTCCAATGAAAACTAAACCCAAAGTTGGAAACAAGATGGCCGATAGACATTACCAAGGGGCACTCATCCAACAAATACAGGTTGTGCACCCGGTGGAACTCGGAAGACCAAACACCAACAGTGGAGGTGGCAGGTTGAGAGCCCCCCCCGTTGAGAAACAGAGCGGATAGCTAGAGGTGCTAGAGGTCCCAATCCATTCCTCCAGCTGAGAGGCATCAACGCCTTGGCATTCCAAAGCTCTGCGACTCCCCAACCATTCCCCGGCTCCAGTGTCCCCGACAAAATCCAAGAACTGAGAGGTGGAAGGAGGAGGCACACTATAGGTGGCAGCAGCGGCTGCGACCGACGCGGCCAAAAGCGCAACCAATCCTGGTTTGGGAGGAGTAATTTTGGGTTTGGAGTCGGCTTTGGCAGGGGCCGCTGTAGGGTTGCTGGAAGCATGCTTAAAAGGACACTTTTCACGGTAACATTTGCCCTGAGAGAAGTAGATGCAAGGCATCTCTGCCTTTTGGGCTGCGGTCAACTCCGAAGGTTTAGATGTGGTCTTGTTTTTGTCATCCTGATGCTTGCCCTTGGGTTGATCACCACCTTTGGGCTTCCCACCTCCTTTTGGCGAACCTTTACCGTCTTTGCCCAATTTACCTTTACCCTTTCCATCCTGATCCCCTTTTGCCCCTTTACCCGGCTTTGCAAGCATTGCGTTGGCATCCTCCTTCTTGACCTTACCTGGGCCTCGCCTAAGGGCTTCCTGGATGGACAGAGCATTAGCTTCTTGCTGGCTTTCTTGGAGGCAAGTTTCTAGCCTGCCCCACAACCAAGCAAATGTACGGGCTTCAGAGTCGGCAGGCGCATCCCGAACTTTGTCAACATGTCGGCGCATGAGGGGATGTCGCTTTAAACGGTCATATAGCCATTTGGCTAGCAACCTGGGTTCTGGTTGGTCTTGTGGACCGATTTGGTTCATCACGTTCATCGCGTAACGTACACGATCCCTCCATTGCCTCAGCGCTGCGCCATTTTCTTGAGGTGGTGGGAGGTTGTACAGCTCTAAGGCAGTCAAAATGGCGCCTGCATTTCGGTCTGTGTCGTATTCACACGCTATCATGTTAAGCGTGGCTCTACCTCTGACATCGTCTCCCGAAAGTTCGCAAGACTCCAAGTAGGAATTGAAACGAACACCAAAGGTCGATCGCAAATGTTCGGGTTTGCAAAGGGCTGCAGCTAAGACTCTATCAAACCGTGGAAATGATCCAGAGGAATGCCTCAACTGGTCCTTTTTTCTGCCTGTGACCTAGCTTTCAGTGCCTCAGCGACCCCTTTCATGAGGAGTCCTTCTGACGACCTGTCATAGCTCATTATCAGGGTCCTTACCGAACTTCCACTGCCGGAATGCTCCAGATGGAACCTTAAAATGGTGAAGATCTTTCAGTCGAACCGACTTTTCTTCAGTGTCACCACGCATGTCCAAACCGTGTCCAGAAAATGATCCACGCAAGTCACAGTCCGAGTCCTCTTCACACAAGTCAAAATTCTTCACATCCCTTTTGGGGGATTCAACATGAAGGGAAGGTTCCCTAGGAGTTGCCCAAGTGTCCCCTTGTTCCCACCAACAATCTTGCCTAAACGCAGAAAACTCAGCATGAAGGTCCTGGAGCCTATTCCTATCTTCCAACATGTTGGTCGCCATCTGATCCACCCTTGCAATCAACAGTGAGTTCTGTCTTTCTGTCTGTTCCAATCTTGGCAAAAAATTGGTGGTGAAGGTACTTCTCAAGCTGTTTAGTCCATCCTCGATTGAACGGATTCGCGCGTCAATAATGGATTGCAAAGTTCCCGTGCCATTTTGCTCGCCAATTGCACTCGTGAGGCTGTTTCTCAAGGTTTCTATTTCAAGTACCCTTTCTTGCAACTGTTGTTCAAGAATGCGGGGCCTTTCATTGGCAGTCTTTAAGGCAGCTTCCCTACTCAAGAGTTCCCCCTGTAATGAGGTTAGCTGGGCTTGCGATGCAATGCCAAATTCCATTGCCTGAGATCTGGCTTCTACAACAGCATGAGCGGCTTGCTCTTTGACCTCCATTGCCAGCGACCTGGCTTCGACGACCGCCTGAGCAGCTTGCTCTCTTACTGTTGTCACTTCCCGCGCAGCCCCAGCCACAATAGCTGGATCCGGTCCGGCGCTGTCAAATGAACTTGCCGCTGATCCTCATACACGAACTGCTGAAACACCCCCTGACCTCTGTCGCTAGGGCTCCGGCCATCAAACGCGTTAAGGCCGGAACGTTGGTCATCACACTCTGCAACGCTCGTCAACAGAAATCATCCCTTGATCACCCGTACGTGGTTGTTGACCCGTTCTAGTCATCATTTCTCTCCAGGAAGTTCGTCCCTTTGGGAGTCCCGCGCTTTGCGCTGGCGATCCTTTTGGTCTAGCTTTTTGGCTTTGCCTATTCTTCTTTACCCTAGACCCAGAGGATGAAGAGTTCCTACTTCTCTCCAAAGATGACTCTTGGCTCTGAACGACCGGTAACCCACCAACAGATGAACTCAGGGAAAATTCAGGGCTTGAGGAGTCCATGAAAGCCTTACTAAAAAGGTCAAGTTTCAGGGAATGCCGAAAGTTGCCCTCCACGACGGCTGGTCCTCTACGGGAACAAAGCCAGACTTCACAACGTGATTCGAGAACTCCCTGAAAGAGCGACAGTGGTACAACTCTCTAGCTCTCGGCCGGTTCTCCGCTAAAAAGTACACTTGTGTGCCAGGGGATGCTTCTGCAGTTTGCCAGCAAGTGGTGTACTTGTCGTCCACAAACGCAGCTGCCCGTGACGACTGGACGACGAAGGCTTTGTCTTCTGGCCGGTCGCAAATCGACAAACCAACTTGCTTGGTGCACCCTCGTTCCTCCAAGAAGCGGTTGAGATCCCTGACCGCTCGGGTCACTTGACCCCTCAACTGAGTGGATCTCGCCCCTACGTACGAAAGCACTCCAACTTGGTGGTGTGGTTCCTGAAGGATTCTCAGAACGGCCGTTTGGTTCTCCTGTACTATTGTGCCTTCAGTTTCTTCTCTCCGACCACGATGCCGTCTGAAGTATTCCAATGTGTCCAGAACACCGTGCGGGTTTCCGACGGCGCTCGAAAAGATCTAGCAGGATTTAACGTATCACCAGATTGCCGTCTAGGTCTCAAAGCAACACACGGGTCGATGGCCTCTGTCAAGCTCACCGGAGTTTGTGAAGCTGGTGCAGTCGCGCCGTCTTCTTCCCTTTGTACTTCGGCAGTGCTTGTGTGGCCCACTTGAGAAGACTTGGGGGAAGATGCTTGGGCAGACCGCTGTGACCCGTAGTTCGGGGTGTTTGGGAAGTGCCTCTTAGGAGTGTATTCTCCTGAGTTGACTTTGTCTCTCAACTCTCTCTGCTTTCTTGTTTTTGCACCGCCCCTTTCGCCACGGTGGTGTTTAACTTCTCGCTCTCCTGCCTCCGCTATGGTGACAACTCCAGCACTTGCGTTAGACACACAAAGTCCCTCTAACGCCACCACAGGAATGCCAAGGCTCTTAACCTAGCAAACTAGGAGCGCAACCTTGTTTCTTCACGAGTACTTGAGCCAAAGTGTTTTTGGTTCCAGTATGCATTTCAATTCAATATCTTCTGGAAGAGGTCTCCGCAACATGACATTCCAACCTACTTCTGCAGAAAGACTGGGCGGTGCTAGAAGCAGCGGCTAGCAACGTGCTGCTAGCTTTATGAAGAAAGTTGGCGCAAAGCACGGACAGGTCCATTCCAACCCATCAACCAAATTGTTTCTGATGCAAAAATAGTGTTGGTTCGTGAACTGAAAAACAAATCAGCACCGTTTCGTGCTTCGACAGCTTTGAATCGTTCTGACAGCTAAACTCGTAGGTGAGTGTATGTGTCTGTGTGTGTGAAACCCATGGTTTCAGTGGGGGCTTTTGGCTTGCTTTTATCTTGGCTCGCTTTGATCGGTTTTCAATCAGGAGGCATGCGGCCACTACGCAAACGCATGCCAACGAAGTTAACCATAATGGTGGATACTGGACTTGATCACTCTGGCATACCTGCCCTTGCAGAATTGTGTGATGTTTCGTAAGCATCCACTTCTAGTCTTGGAGGCAGTTTCAGGTTTGAAGAGGTCCTGCAGTAAATTGCTAACACACTTCGAACTTTGGACTTTGACTCGACTTCTGACCGTGATATCTTTTTTTGCACTACTTAGGCGTTGTTTAAACACCGAGGTTTCTTCTGGACCTGTGGCATTCAGACCGTACGTACTTTTTCCAGTGTGTGCGACAAGTGGAGTTGCGAAAGGACAGCTCCAGGCTTTCATCGCTAGTAGGTTGGAGGCCATCGCTAGTAGGTTGGACCATTCCTATTAGGTTCCTTTTGCAACTTCAGGTGCGCTTTCTGGCAGGTGCGGCGCAGGCATGGGCGAAAGCATACACGGGTGCACCCATCACGTGCGGCGGGCACTGGATAGGGAACGCATTGACTCTTTCACACCAATTACTAAACGTCCTTCAAATATTGTTGAAGCAAAACATGTCAGTTTTGTTTATAATGTATTGGATATCAGGATCTATCTATCGATCTATCTATCCATCTATCTATCTCTGTCTATACGTACCATACATACATTATATCATATATGCATATATTTATATATGTTATATATATGATACAGAAATATGTCGTTTGAATTGGTCTTCTTTTTTTGGCTAAAGTGAAACCTCAGACGATCTTTTTTAATTCTTCAGCCACGTACCTCTCACAGCAGCATACAAATGGGTAGGTTGGAGGCCATCGCTAGTAGGAGCAAGGACGCTACTAGGGGCTCCTGGCCTTACTACTAGGAGCATGCAGCTACTAGTAACAAAGGGCATCGCTACTAGGAGCAAGGCCGCTATTAGGTTGGAGGCTATCACTATTGTTTTTTTAACATGTAATTACTGCATACCCCTTTGTTTGGTCCATTGCGGCGCACCCTGACGCATCATCTTGGCCAGATGGGTCGATCTTAGCAGCCAATTTCTGCCTTGGGACTGCCAAGTCTGGTGAAGTCAAACCAGATGTCCTTTCATCACCCTCTTGCAACATCACACTTGACACCAAAAGGATTCCTCTTCTAAAACACTCAGGTTTTGCACCATGGCGTGAAAGCGCGCTCTGTGCAAAGTGCTGCATGAATTGAGACTGGGGCTTGTCTGGAGTCAAAGACCGCAACATCCAAGCACAGCTAGGGTTCAGGTTGAAGTCTGAAATGAGCGCCTGGCGCCGATGCTCCCATGCGTGGCCGATGCTTGCCACGTGCACCGATGGGTTCCACAATTCCACGCCCCAGCAGCCCTTGTGGACCCACAAAACAGAAGCCGTGTCTAGCAGCTTCAAGGAAACGCGACGAAAGAAGAAAGGCTCGAAACCACGATCCTTGAATGAATTGAAACATATTGCAACTAAACAGCCTGGAAGTATCAGAGTCAGCGCAAATTGGGTCTCGCTTTCCATTCGTGACGGGTGGAGGCCATCGCTCTTTGGGAGGCCATGTCAGCATTACACAGACAAGAAGCTATTAGAAACAAGTGCCACGCTGAGGCCTGGAAGGACGAGAGAAAGACAAAGGCGCCGTCCGATAAAGGTCAACTCTGTGAGCTCTCCGCTACTACTAGCGCGGCACTTGTTCCTAGTAGCTTCTTGTTACTAGTAAGGCACCTGTTACTACTAGCGTGGCACTTGTTACTACTAGCTTAAGCAATCAAAGTGTCCGGAGCATATCGGAACTGGTATGAATAGGCACTCTCTCGTTGCCTCCTTTGCGGATCTGGCCCTCTTCTGGAGAGGGGAAAGAAGACAGGAACTCAAATGACAAGGCATGACACCTGAACATAGAAGTACATGGATTGTCGAAGGCAAAAGGTTAATTTAATGAACCTAGATGCGATGGCCTCCAACCTAATAGCGATGGCCTCCACATAGAAGTGCATGGATTACCGAAGGCTTGAACTGTTTGTAGTCCCGATTATCGAACCTGACCTGTGAGATGCTTGCTGTGCGGGAAGCTACAGTCCACGCCGCAAAAAGGACAGACAAGGAGCGCACGACAAAACATGAAAGCCAGAGATGAAACAATGGTGTTTGGCTTGTGGAATAACGAGAACCTTTTGTCGATGTACGGGATTAGTCACAAAAGACGGGTGTAAGAATGTTCTCTACTAGGAGCTCCTGGCCTTACTACTAGGAACAAGAAGCTACTAGGAGCTCTTTCGCGCGGGGGGGGGGTAGAGGACGCTACTAGTAACAAGGGCATTACTACTAGCCGACCAAGCCGATGCTCTCAAGACAGACATGTAGCCTCGATCGCATTCTTTGCCGACTGCTTGATGGGCCGAAGCCTTGCAGAATGGCAGAGAGGCATTCAAAGCATTTCAACTACAAGCAAATCAAGCATTCTTGTCAAATCGCTAGTAGCAGCAAGGACGCTACTAGGGGCTCCTGGCCTTACTACTAGGAGCAAGAAGCTACTAGTAACAAAGGGCAGCGCTACTAGGAGCAAGGACGCTATTAGGTTGGAGGCCATCGCCATCAGGTTGGAGATTGGCATAGAAAGCTATTTAGACACGGCTTCGATACAAGAGTGATCGCTACTCTGCAGCTGACTGAGGCTTTGGCCCACCATCTCCGGGACCTCAGAAATGCAGAAGGAACAAGAAGCTACTAGGAACAAGGGCATCGCTACTACTAGCAAGAAGCTACTAGTAGCTCCTGGCCCCACTACTATAGTAGCAAGAAGCTACTAGGAACAAAGAGGTTCCCCTCAGAAATCTTCCTGCCTCGCAGCTGACCATGACGATCCGCCTCGACGGCCTAAAAAAAACGGAATTCTTAAGCTACTAGTAACAAGGACGCTATTCTACTAACTAGAAGCAAGGACGCTACTACGGGCTCCTAGGAGCCCGCTCCCCTCCCTTCTGCGCCTGCTTCATGCGGCTTAGCAACATGGAAGTTGGACTCCTAGCCGCAATTTGAACGTTGGAGGCCATCGCTTTTAGGTTCCTTAAAGTCCTTTTGAACGCAATCAGTAGACCTGGCACGGCAAAAGCCCAGACCTGGCATCCAATGGCCCTCGCCGCATGACCTCCTGCTGTAAATGGGGTGGCATCGCTCGAAATCGATCCGCCACCTTGCGCGCAGATATGATTTCGCGCGCTCGACGACCTCCGTTTTCCACATCTTTGATACAAAGTCTCACAGGCTTATCTCAAAATGCTACTAGTAACTTCTTGTTACTAGTAGTAAGGCCAGGAGCCCCTAGTAGTGTCCTTGCTCCTAGTAGTAGGGCCGGAGCCCCTAGCAGCTTCTTGTTCCTTTTTGTCCAGGAAAGTTCAGAGAAACTTCCTGGTTGCACAACGTTGGAAACCTGCAATTGGTCGATCTATATATAATAGTACGGAAGCCTGTGGTTGGCACCAGTTTCACTTAACAAGTGCTGAGTAGAAAAGTATGAGATGCCACAACAAGTGCTCAAGGACTGAAATTGATCCCCTTTGCCGGCTTTCACAATGTGTCCATGTTGATTCCTATTCATAGTCCATCTGGGTTGCTTGGACAACCCCAAAGGTGCAAGCTTGGACTTTCTAGGCTGCAGATCGTTTGCAGAGTTTCGGGACACACCCGATCACCGAGTTCCTTTTTCCGCGCCAAAATAGCATCTTGCATTCCAGTAATTGGAAGCCAGGGCTGAATTGAATTTCGGAAGCCAAAGCCCACTTGTGAGCAGAATAGTCGCAAGAAACAGAAGGAACAGAGTCTAAAAGTTGGCTGGGCTGTACTTCACTGTGGGCTTTCACGGGCTTTCTACTTTTCAGGCTGCTCAAGTCCTTGCGGCCTGCAGAGTAACACGAGCACTTCAAAATGATTCTAACATGTAAGCCATGCCCTTTGTTCCTAGTAGCGTCCTTGCTCCTAGTAGTAAGGCCAGAGCTACTACTAGCGGTCCTTGCTCCTAGTAGCGATGCCAGGAGCCCCTAGTAGCGTCCTTGCTCCTAGTATGCTGCACTGAATGTCTGGGAGCCCCACAGCCATCAGTCAATGTCTTCAAATTTCTCAAGTGCAGAGGGTTCGACACCTGCAGTGCAACGGACAGCAACCCTCTCTTGAGAAACCTAGCTGCCATTGCTGAGGCTAAGCTCATTGAACGTCATTGAACGAAGTTGTCAAAACCGTCGATTGGGGCAGCGGCAAGGCTTGCAAACCCTTTTGTTCGACCTGCAAAATAAAGTTGTTGCAGAAGAAAGCAAGTGTTTCTTGGCTGGTTCAATTGTTCTATGTCTATGTGAGCATGTTCATTTGGTCAAATAACGTGCCCAGCGTCGTGAGAGAGTAGAGCTGTGTAGCTATCAGAAAGAGAGAGGGGCGAGGCCCGGGGCGTCAATGGGTTCCAGCACTTGTGTGAGTGTGAAGCTAGCTCGCTGCGAAAGTCATTTCAATTCAAGGAGCTAAGAGGGTGGAGAATGTGTCAATCGTTTCCAGCAAAGGAACACAGCGATGCCAGGAGCCCCTAGTAGCATCCTTGCTCCTAGTAGTAAGGCCAGGAGCCCCTAGTAGATTTGACTCTAGGCCCTTGAAAACCTTCAACCTGAATTGCTTGCATACGCGGAACTAGTACTGTAATATAAAAACCAAAGTATGCCGTCTTTCCACGCGTTGGGCACAGAGCCTCGCATGTCAACTTCCAAAATGAAAGCTGCGAAATTAGCCGAAAAAGAAGCAAGGGTCTCTTTAATCAGACCCTTCTAAAAAGCCCTTTTAGATCTTCAAGCGTAGTGGCATGGCGGGCTTTGAATGAGCTGTGCGGATACGCCAGTATCTTTATGAATGCGTTGCCTGTGGTGTCTCTCCATCGCTAGGACTTAGGATCCTTTACTGTCTCAGTCATAGGTGGTTCCACTCAACACTTTGCGTTTGGTCCCTAATAGCAATGGCCTCCAACCTACTAGCGATGGCCTCCAACCTAGAAGAGATGGCCTCCAACCTAATAGTGAATATGGAAATAAGAAGAACAAATGTCCCTAATAGCTTGTTTGGTCAAACTTCCCGATCTCTGTTGTCCGCAACCCGCTATGGGCACAAACCTCCCTGCAGCCGTTGCACGCTGAACCAAAATGCATGTGCATGCTGCCAAACCTACTTGACACAGGAAGTCGAGCGCGCGGATTGTCCAACAAAAACTTCTATGAAGGCACGGGCCTATGAGACTACTAGTAACAAGTGCCTTACTGGTAGTAACAATAAGAATTTATTTAGAATTAAGTTAAAATTAAATTAATAGCTTCTTGTTACTACTAGTAAGGCACCTGTTTCTACTAGCTTATTGTTACTACTAGTAAGGCACGGGCCTATGAGACTTATTGTTTCTAATAGCAAACATTGTTACTACTAGTAAGGCACCTGTTACTACTAGTAAGGCACTTGTTCCTAGTAGCTTCCAAAAAGGCACACCACCAAATACGCTGACCGACCGTGTAGTTTTGTGCAGCCTCGTGACTTCAATGGCATGGGCACAAGTTCATGTGACAGCTATGTGCCACCGGCGTGCAGTCAAAAGAATGTCACGGAAATAGAAACTGTTAGCTTCCCACCTACTAGCAATGGCCTCCAACCTAGTAGCGATGGCCTCCAACCTGCTCATTTCCACCTTTTGCAAGAAAGTTTCTGCGATCTCCTTCTCAGCGCGCGACCACATGACCGTCTCTAGCTCTTTTGCTTCCTCCTGCGCATTTCACACGAAAGCTTTTTGCCGAGGATTGCCAGCGGACTGAAGGTCTTTAGAATGCATGGTCAAAAATATGTGCATGTTTGGAGCATGTTGGCTCAACAAAATACTTCACCTTGCCACACAACAATTGAAAGAGTCCAGCCTCTCCCTGAAAATGAAACAGCGTGTGGAAGTAGCACACACAAAGGAAGAAAGAGGAACGCAAGCATCAGCTCCACAAGCTTGTACGACCAACATCTGAACGGCCAGAACTCCATTGAATATGAAAACAGCCAAAACTTGAACGTGAAATTGCCGCCACGGTTTGGTCATGATCATTGGAATGCATCGCAGCACACTGGGCAAAAAGGGCGGCAAAAATCATACGCTATTAGGTTGGAGGCCATCCCTAGTAGGTTGGAGGCCATTGCTATCAGGATTTTACATGATGCAAATTTGATGGTAAACCAGCGAAGATGTCATATCACATCATTCGGAGTGTCCTTCTGCGCTTAAGAGAGCTCTTAGGTTGGAGGTCATCGCTCTTAGGTTGGAGACTATCGCTGTGGACGTTGCCTTCTTCTTTGATCAAGCTCAAACAGATTGGACTAACCTCCAGCCTAACGTCCAGGTTCTTGGGATATATCTTCGAGGTCACCAACTGACTACATTACTTGGGCCTTCCTCCCTCTTCATGCGCAAGACACACTTTCCGAAGGACCCACACTCTGTCTAGCGAGCTACTCGCACCTGCCCATGCATCGAATCTTCTCCAAATGCGCCATTGTCAATCTTCTACGCCCATGCTCGACAAAAAATTACAAAGGATATGGAGGCCATCGCTACTAGGGTGGACACCATCGCTAGTGGGTTGGAGGCCATCGCTAGTAGGGTGGAGGCCATCGCTCTTGGGTTGGAGGCCTAGGTTGGGATAGCAAAGGATATCCTTTTAGAAAACAAACAACCTCAGCGACGCACTCTGCCACAGAACGCCAGGCTGCAGGTGTACTATGGACCATAATATGGCAAATGGACTTCCTCCAAAAGGCCCGTCAAACGTCTACCTGCCACAGCCTTGGAGCTGAGAGGCGGGTGATCCGGCGGGTGATCCACAACGTGAAACATCTATCTTGCATTCTTTGTTCCTAGTAGCGTCCTTGCTCCTAGTAGCGATGCCAGGAGCCCCTAGTAGCGTCCTTGCTTATGCCCAGCATTTGAAGACATACAAAGGATGTCTTTCTGTTGCAGCTTCTTGCCTCCAGCTTTTGGTGCAAAGGTCAGAGTACCTGCCTCTGACACCACGGCCATCCGCGGCCCCTACTTCCACACGTCTTCTCGTCCAATTCTTCTGCCGTCTTGTCTTTCGCTTGTCATGGCTCGCAGAGCTAGTAACTAGTAGTCTTTCAATCTCGGTATGCCTGGGGCCAGCAGCTGGTTACGCTCACTTTGTGACATGTGAGGTTCTCTTGCTGGCTACAGCCTCATTCTCTGAAGAGTGTTGCAGTTCATCGACCCTTCCAATCCCCACACAGCTTTGAGAGAGCGGAAAAAGGCAGCTCGTGTTACATGAGCCATGAGCCAGACGAGCTTTTGTGGGGATGAGCCTGTGTGAACGTGAGCTCATGTGAAGGTGTCCACTCTTCACGCTGGGAAGAGAAGGAGGCGGACGAAGAATGAGTGATGTTTGCCAAACATAAGCCTTTCAGCAAGAATGCAGGACTCTCCTCAGGAGCATCTGCAAGATGCCTCGGCAAGCTTCGTTCAAACATGTGTTCTTTCCCACTACTAGGAACAAGAACGCTACTAGGAACAAAGGGCATCGCTACTAGGAGCAAGGACGCTACTAGGGGCTCCTGGCCTTACTACTATTAACAAGAAGCTACTAGGAACAACTTCTTCGAAAGCTCTTGGGAAGAGGCTTTGCTACGGCTAATGGATCGCCCCAGGCCGCAAAGAGGGACAGATCTGGCCTAACAAAATCTAACAAAATGCACAAATGAAACTGGCAAATGAGCAAATGTGATGTCTTCCAAACCTGTTCTCTGGCTAATAAAGCGCAAAATCTAAGCTTGTTGCTCTCCAAGAAGCTGCCGGAGGGCACTGCCATTTGCATCCTCCTCACTGGGCGCTGTTGGACTCTTGCGTGGAGTTACGACAAAGCGTAGCATGCCAATGGGATTTAAAGTGTGATGTGATGATAAAGCTATGAAGCTTCAACTAGCCTTCATGTGCAAATAATGAATTTCGGCTGTTTGCACTTCAGTGGAAATGTTCGGGAACAAAACTCCATGGCGGTCCTTGGTCAAAGCATGCATCTGCGCTGTCATACCAGAGTACCTCACCAAGCCAAATCATTCAAGAAAGATTTGAACTAATTCTAAGTTTTTCTTCTAGGTTGGAGGCCATCCCTCTTAGGTTGGAGGCCATCCCTTTGTGGTTGGAGGCCATCGCTTCTATGTATCGCTGTTGGTTGTCATCAACACAGGTCCAGACCCATCTGGTGCTCGTGGATCTGCACGTGCCGACAACAGGTGTCGGCAGCATTCCAAATGCCTGAGCGCAAGTTCGCTGCGGGCCTAGATGTGTGACAAAAAGCATCCAAACTAGAAAGCATGCTTCGAAATGAAGCCCTGCGTGAAGCAAAGTGGAGCGAGAAGTGTATCCTTTTGGATTCAACTCGGAGAACTTATCATATCGGACCTGGAGACTAATGGAGCAGCCCACATTGGCATGCTCTAAGAGGTGAAACACACGATTACAATTATTTTGGAACACAAACGCTCATCCAGTTTTGGAAATCAAAGAGTTGTTATGTCCAAATTGCAGATTTCGTGGAGAGGAGAGGGCGGGATTGGGGGAGAGAGCACAGCAGGCACAAACCATTTCAACAAGCCAGCGGAAGCCAGGCAAGGGCAACCAAAAAGCAACCGCCCACGGAAGTTATTAGAAACCACCGAAAGCCAAGAGAATCCACAAGCCGTTCAAAGCCGAGCTGAAAAATCACTGCGATGTTTGTCTGTAGCGCCCCCAGTGAATGAAAAAATAAAGAAAGCTCGTGCAGGAGTGACCCTTATCGCTCTTAGGTTGGAGGCCATCGCTAGAAGGTTGGAGGCCATCGCTATTAGGTTGGAGGCCATCGCAAAGAAAGAAAGAAAGAAGGAAGGAAGGAAGGAAAGAAACGCATACAGCTTGGCACATGTTGAAGAGGCCGAGAGCGGTACATTTCTTTCAAATGATTTCTTTCAAGGTTCCGGCGGTTCCGGAATGATTTCGTTCAAGCAGCCTTGGACGTGTCACTACCTCTATTTTAAAAAGTACAGTTATATCGTATGAAAGAAAGAAATTAAAAAAGCGGACTCAAGCGCCACCTTTAAGGCGGGGTACCATGATTTGTTGATCGAGTGCGCCCAATCGGTGCTGTAACGAACTCCACTAGGAGTGGATGCGGCACTAGGTCAAAATATGCAGTTAATCATGTAGTGTGTATGTGTTTCTTCAAAATATCAATTCGGGAAGCCTGAGAATGTTGGATGTTAGAATTATGGCCGGAAATGAACTAGGCAAGGGAAACTATGCATGCACGAGCATGCACCATTGATTTCTCACCTGCAATCTTCATACACAGCGCTGTTTCCATGTGTCATTGATTTCTTGAGCTTCTGCCTCAGGTTGAAGGTTTGTCTATTATGTTCTCACTTGAGTAATTTGGCACAAGGGTTGACTCCTAAAAGTGACGTAGTCTGTGTTCAACACAGTCAACTTTAACAAAAGAAACATGAGAAGCCAGTGCCTATAATGTGGGTCAAGAGCGAGGGAAGCCACCGACGTGGGAGTAAAACGGGAGACATATGAGATAACCCAACTCTCTTCAAATACAAGCACTGCGTCCTTGGCGTTTCCCAGTGCGACAGTCACAGTCCACTGACATGCTAGCCCGCAAAAATAGAAGAGTTCGGGGAGATACAAACAGTGAGAGACAAATGACAAGCTGGGAACAAGCTGAACAACCAAAAAGACTGCTGCGTCTACAAATGCAACCCTTGAAAAGGAACAAGAAATCAATTCTTGTAAATGTTCAAAGGGGCCCTCTAAACAGTGTTATTGCGGTGTTCTCACCATCAGAAACGTCTCTGCCCTTGGCCACTTGGCGTCTGGACCCACCGGCTGCTGCAATGTGCAGCGGTTGCAAGCCATCACAATCTGCCTCTGAGCATGGCTTCGAATGTTGACAAATGAAACATTTGTTCAAACCACTTTGTTCAAACCACAATCGAGCATGTCCATTTTCTGATTCTGAAAGTTTTTGCAAAGTGGTGTCTTAGTACGCCTTCAACTCTATAGGTGTTTCTTCGGGAGATAGGGGAGAGTGCTTCGATGCGTCTAAGCCAGTGGCAGAAGATGGATCTGCACGCTTCTGGAGTAGTAAGCCTCCAGTCCCACACCCTTAGAAGTTAGAAGTAAATGCTTAGTTCCAAGTGTCCAAGTACATGCTGCTACACTGCTACCTACAAAGAATGATTGACCTACAAAAGACAGCCGAGTTGGTGCTGCTTTGAAGCGTGCCTGCAACCTCTGCAAGGCCAGCGAAGCAAGCCCGATGTAAAGGTCGCCAGCCCATGTGATCAAATGCCTGGCATTGAGTTTCAAAATTTACTCAGATGCCGTTGGAAGCTCGGATGAATTCTCAATTGTCTTGACTTTGGCAACAGGTTGCCTTGCCTACGACTATCTCGATCAGGATCATGCCGGCACTTATTTTATGCTTCCCCCTACCACAGCCTACCCCCCCGGCAGAAAAAATTAAAACGGACAAATAGAATTATTGTGGTTGGGCAGCAGCATGAACGCCCACCTCAATGTCGCTCCCCGATTCAATCCTGACAGGTCTCAGCTGTGGATGACGAAAATGCAAAAATATCTTTCGCAATTAGGTTAAGGCCATCGCTCTTGGGGTGGAGGCCATCGCTCTTGGGGTGGAGGCCATCGCTCTTGGGGTGGAGGCCATCGCTCTTAGGGTGCAGGCCATCGCTCTTAGGGTGCAGGCCATCGCTCTTGGGGTGGAGGCCATCGCTCTTGGGGTGGAGGCCATCGCTCTTAGGTTGGAGGCCATCGCTCTTAGGTTGGAGGCCATCGCTCTTAGGTTGGAGGCCATTGCACTTAAATTCCTTTTGCTATAATGCTATTATGAGGTGTCAAGCGGAGAAAAACGCTGTCGCCTCCAGTTTTGCACTGATCTCTCGTTTAGTTTCTGTTTCAAAACATCTGAATAGACCTGACACCACAAGGCTGCCAAGCGATTCTTTTTTGAACCCTTCCGTTCTACTGCGGTGCGGTGGCTCATCATGTTGTTTTCTTACTTGATTTCTTCCACTTTGACTTTCACGTGTTTACCACTAACATTCACAGGTCTTGCGTGTGTCTTTCCCTGAAAAGATTTTGAACTCGGGAGAAGTGATGGTGCATTCCCGTTCGGAGGTTCACGCCGCTCAAATTAAGGCAATTTGTACGTCTAAAACTGCAGAGTCCTCTTCTAAGTCCGCTTTGAATTTGAATGAGCAAAGCTGTTGGGCGCTAACAAAAGCCAGGTCAATCAATCTTCGGGATTGACAAATCATGTACATAAGAAAAGCAAACGTGGAACACCATGTGAGTGCCGGACAAAATCTTGTATCTAGCCTGTGACAGAGCTTAGAATGGGTCAGCCCCCATCTGTTATGCAGGTTTTTTGTGCAGGTTTCCTACAATATGTCTACCATGTGAATAAGTTAGTCTTCGCAGGTTTTGTCGGATGCTCATATCAATATCAGAGACTTGTTGACAACAAGACTGCTGCCTTTTCATAGATTTTAGATCGAACAATTTCCTTGGCCAAGAAGCTACTAGGGGCTCCTGGCCTTACTACTAGGAGCAAGGACGCTACTAGGGGCTCCTGGCATCGCTACTAGTAGCAAGAAGCTACTAGTAACAAGAAGGCTACTAGGTTGGAGAACTCATGGTTTCACTGTCTTGCTGGAGGTGTTGGCCGTGCATGGCCTTGCCTCCTGCATTTTAGGGGACCAGTGCCGGACCCGAAGAGGACATCTTCTAAGGTCCAAACAACTGCTGAGCAGCATCTGCATCTTCTTCAAAGAGAGCCATCAGAAGTGGATCGCCAGCCTCTGCATAGACCTTGCAACGCTTTCTTTCTGAAAAGAATATCTCCAAACTTCTGAGGCAAGACACGCGAGTGCTGTGTTGTCACATTTCATACATGTTGCACCAAGACACCCGCATGTACTTGTCACTGTCAGTCCACTTGAGGGAGTAGGCGGGAACACTAGCGTCCACTTCCCCGACTGCAAGTGTGCCTCCAAGTGTCATGTCCAATTGTAGAGAGATCATGTTGAAGGGAATGTCTAATAGGAGCCCCTAGTAGCGTCCTTGCTCCTAGTAGCGATGCCAGGAGCCACTAGTAGCTTCTTGTTCCTAGACTATAGAGTTTCGTGCAATGAGATTGCGGGGGGGGGTCCGTCGGGCTTGTCGCCAGAGTACCTCCTTGCATATCACAGTACCAACAAATGGACTGAACGCGTCGCTCTCGGCTTAAAGGCGTGGAAGGGAGCTAATAGCATTGCGGGTCACAAGAAACAATGCCCTACATTATGTGGTTGATCTAAATCTTTCATCTGGAAAGTGCCTCTTCGCGATAAAAAAAGATTACTTTCGCGAACCCCATGTTTAACTTTCGCGAACTTTCGCGAAGTATGATCTTACATATTCAGAAGAAGTTCGGGTACATGGGTATATATAGTAGTTAAAGGAAAACTATATAGAGGTATGCATGATGTAGCCCCTAACTCAACTTTGCAACCCCTAACTGACTTCTCACCTGGAGCCCCATTGTGTATCCATTCCCGAAAAGTTCCGACTATATCCATCCTACAATCTTTCTGTCTGACTTGAACCTAAAGAGACATGAGGCAACCCCTTCTCAGGACAACCAGTCTTTCGCGAAGACTTTCGCGAAACTTTCGCGAAAAACAGGACATGTTTTGGACAAATTCCCAAGTTTCTTCAGCAATGGATCGAACCTTTCCATTGGCGTACCGAGTTTCCTCTGAGACGAAACCCGTCATTTGAGCAGCAAAAGCTCGTGAAGACAAGGCTTGGTGACAATTGCACAAAGACTCTGATTTCCTTCTGAGCTGGTGCTCTGAAAAGATCACAGTAAGCAAACAAATAAGGGTCCCTTTACCTACAAATAACATACATGGTTACATGAACTTTCGCGAAAAAAAAAGATTACTTTCGCGAACCCTGTGTTTAACTTTCGCGATCTTTCGCCCGGTTGGTACTTAGTAACCGAAATGGCTGTTCCATATGAAACTCCTTTCATGGACCTTTAGATCGATGCCCTGACATAGCAATGGCCTCCAACCTAATAGCGATGGCCTCCACCCTAATAGCGATGCCCCACATGATGCCCTTCAGCATTGCAGGCAATGCACCTTGGGCACCTTTTGCCCCTTGCTCCTCTTGATCCCCGCCATTTGCCATAAGGACTCATGTGTCAATTTGTGGGACGGCTCATTGGTTCTCATTATCTCACAAATCACCATCAACATAGCAAAACTACAGGGAATTGACTCCTTCACACTTTGCCAAGTGTGATTTCGGCGCGCGGGTGTCTATCACAGTAGTAAGTAGTGAAAGTACAAAATTTACTAGTAAATCAAGCTCACTTACTACTACATGTTTGTGGTTTATGGTTTAGCTTTGCTACAGTTGTCTATCCAGACCCAGCCTCTTTCTTGTCTTCCATGACAGTACAATTTCAGCACCCCCCACCAAAATCTGAACTGAAACTCGTGCAAAATTCAGTTGGCTGCCCGGAAAGTTCAATGTTCAATCTAAGCGCCACTCAGTTGCATCGCCTGCACCAATTGCATGGCGTTTACGCCCCATTTGCCTCACGTCAAAAAGGGGCAGTTTCTAGAGATTCACATATTTAACAAATGGATGAAAGCATGAAGTGTTTTGAAGCAAAGCAAACAAAGCCATTGCTATTAGGGTGGAGGCCATTGCACTTAGGTTCCTTTTGCTATGAGGTTGGAGGGAAAACATCCTCAGACCCTCGCCTCAACAAAGGCGCTGGACCAACGCCAATCAAGTGGACTCTATATTGGCAGTATTGTCTGTGGAGTCAAGCACTATGTTCCATAACCCGAAAGGTGACAGAAATGGTGTGAACATAGCAGAAAGTTGAATATGAAGGCTCCGTCAACTACATTGCAACAAAAATCAGTTGCTACTTGCACACTTGAGCCTATTGTTGCTGAAAAGCTGCAAGGTCTGCAAACTTCGGAAAGACTTGACAAAGGAAGAATGCCTTCCCTCCAACCTAGTAGCAAAAGAAACCTAAGTCACCCTAAAAGCGATGGCCTCCAACCTACTAGCGATGACAAAGAAAAAATGTGAAACAACGGACTTGACAGCATTGCCTCAGCCTCCACATCCTGGCCCAAGAAAGCCTCCAAATTCGCACGTGCATCCAGCATGGTGTTTTGACCTCTAATTTCGACCGCTACACTGACGAAGGGTACTGAGTCACTGGGGCATGTCCCCTTCGAGGTTGTGTGCTTTTCTGAAACAGGCTTCCGCCACGGAACTAAGACGTGCCTTTGCTCTTGGCTAAACAAAGTGACAGAGTGTGGGTTGGGGTCTGCCTTGTCAGGATGTCTTCGCGAATTACTGTGGAGCAAACAATGGAACATCCAAATGCTATTATCAAGTTCGGCTGTAGCTGGCTGTAGATACCATGTTACATACCCATTTTGCTGACTTCTTCGAGATCTGTTCTTGGACTTTCTTTTTCGACTGCAGAAAGGAGCACAAATCTACAAAGTTCACATTGTGGCAGCTGTTCCAACAATGAGTTCAACCGTTCAACCCATCTGTTCCACTACAGGAGCGAAGATCCATAGAATAACCACGTGAGGTAGCCCAAGAGTAAGCGAATCGAAAATTAGAAACACGCCAAGAGCCACAATCTCTTCGTCAATTTGATTCTTGTGCGACCTCTGATTTCTTCTGATTTCCATAAGTTCAGCCATAGCAAGTTTTCTGCTTTTATTCTTTCCCATCCATTAACCATTCATGTTCTCACGTTGCTGTGCGTCTTTCCTGAAATTTCTGCATTCCTAGGACGGTTGTTGGCCCTGCCAATACGTGTTGATTGTTCTCATCACACACTGCTGCAGCGCCCTTGGAAACTGTTTTGCATTCCGGGGTTGTTTCTTGCTCCCACAACTGCATTGGATTGGCAGCACCCCCTCCTTCCTCCCATTCTTGGATAAGCAAGATCGAAGCAAGATCGAAGCAAGCCAACTCCAAGGATCAATTGCATGGGGGGAGCGCTTCCTCCTCCTCCTCCTCCTCCTCCTCCTCCAAACCCTTCCAACTTGTTGAAGCCAGCCAGGTCAAACCGATCAACCAGAAGAATACAACGAATATAAGCAAAAACCATCAAGAATCTATCTTCAGTGGTTTGCAAGTCGCTGGGCACAGGGAGGACATTGCTAAATGTCTGTTTCGTTTCGATCAGCCCCGCAGATTTTGTTCTGCTCAGGTCCAACGCCAACCTAAATACAGGTGGTTTTTTCGTACAAAGAAAAACACATCTTTGCCTCAGCAAATCTCCAGTCTCGCACAAACAATGTTGAAGTTGACCAAGTTGTAAGAACTGAATTGCTTAAAAGATTGCCTTAAACTTATTTGTTGATACACTTTACTGAATTGCTTCTTGGTTTGGATCCCCGTGTTTTTCTTCTCCTCTACATCTGGACCAGGTAGATGTTGCGGCGCCGCAGCTGGCCACCTGGTTCCTTCAGGCGTTGCACTGCTTTCACTTGTCGAGGTCAAGGTGCAAAGAGGCTGGCATAGTTTTCCAAACGGTTAGAACATCTCTAAAGAGGCGATCCTTCAACAAAAAGCATTCAACCACAATCACTGACTGCATTTCCACACCTTCTACTAACAAGATGGAATCCACAAGTGAGCATGTGTGGGCGCTCCTGATCTCTCGCTGGAATCGCTGCTATAGCCTCAGCGAGTCTTCCGAGGAAGCTCAGCAGACTATGTGCTCTCCCTAGCCTTCACGGCAATGCGATGGCCTCCAACCTACTAGCGATGGCCTCCAACCTAAAAGCGGTGGTTTTCTTGTCACGGCGCGGATCTGAGGCTATTGCTCGAAGACCCTTTGCCTTGCTGCTCAGTTTGCCCATTCAAGCATATGCAGCACATCCTGCTTCTCGGAGAACTCTCATCCAATCTCACTTGAGCAAGCCGCGCGATGCTTTCTTGGGAACAGATGCCCACCTTGGTGTTGCGCAAATGGTTGCTCGAAATCGTGCTTGCATTGAAGCACTTTATAATATTTGAGAGCGCCACGGCACGCCCATCAAATGAGGCCTTACAGGGCACGACTAGATATATGTTGTTTAGATTTCTTCACCCTGGGCCTGGGTGAATGAAGTAATGTGGTTTTATGAGGCAAGGCGGCTGACTTATGACTTGTCGTTCAGACGCGACCAACTGTTTTGATAAAGGCTACATGGCTATCTCTTTGCGGAAAGTGCTGTACTGACCACACTCAGAAATGAGAAAAAACATAAAATGAGAGGTCTGAAGTTTAAAGGTTTAAGAAAAGGAAAACATGTCTGGCAGTATCAATTTGGTATCAGTTTGGTGCTTCACGCGTTTGTGCAATAAGGCTTTGACATCCACATCTGCTGCTGCATCATGGCCTGACCAAGAACACCGTGGTCACTGCACACTGTGACTTCTAAACAGCCAGCGCTTGGGCTCGTGCCATGTATCCAGGATGCATGAAACGCATCATAGCGGCCTGGTCTGGGTCTGTGAAAGGACATCGGATTCTTCCAATCTGGCAATGTGAAATGCATGACGTCTGCATGAGAACACGTGGGAGAACAAGAGCCCCCCTTTTCTGGCCACGCGACGCTTCTACAGGTCACAGTCCTTGTTGCAGGTCACCGCTGCTCCCGGAAGCAAATTCCCGATCATACGCTGCCTGACACGAAGTGGTGGACACAGCCACAATAAAGCTACAAGTTCACCCTCCACAGACTATGGGAGGCCAACGCTAGTAATTCGGTTGGAGGCCAGCGCTAGTAGGTTGGAGGCCATCGCTAGTAATAGGTTGGAGGCCATACTAAATGGCCAAAGTGCTCTTGGAGGATATCTCGTAATGGACCAGTTGGCCGGGCGATGAAGCCGTGGAAGTCATCCATCGTCAAGTTGGCAATGAGATGTCCGCGTCGGTCACGCAGAGCGGTTCTCCAATCATCTCCGTAGACTTGGCTGAGATATCTTTCAGCAAACTCTTTCTTTGGAATCCAAACTTCAAGCTCTCCAAACCTCATTCGCTCGCGCTTTAAGATGCCCTTCAAAGGGAAGCTCTGCGCATATTGCAAATCCGTGCGATGAATATAGTGCCACGATGCTTCATTCCCGTTGAAAGCTACGTCTGCAAGGTGCGCGTCAATATAAGGCAAATGGCAGGCAAGGCCGCCTTGCACACTTCGAACATCAGCTGCAGCTGGCACCTGCACCATACAAAAACGATACTGAAAATAAATCGGCATGTGATATGCCAAAATACCGGCAGCAGCCAGCGCTGCTTTGAAAGAAGGAGATACGAGGTGGTGCGAATCGGGCCGCCAAAGTGCAATATCCACATCACAGTCCTGCGGTAGCAGCCCACCATTTCGCAACGTGCCCAGCAAAGCTCCAGAAGACATCCACCACTTTACGCCAAAAAAATCCAAAAGGCTTCCAACTGCATGAAGCAAACCATATATCAAATGACTTCCTGCCACTGTCAACCGTTGAGACATTTGAGACGGCACACCAGAATCAAGGCGATCGCAAAGTTTAGCTAAAGTAGGTGGTGGCGGCTGATTTGGAATTCTCGAAACTGAGTCGTCTTTTTGCACCTCCAAGCTGCCAATCTGTGAGAACTGCGTATCGACCCCAGACAATTTGGAGAGCAAGAAAAATATAGGGAATGCCCTAACCAAAGAACAAGTCACCTGCACTTGCTCCGGATGCGTCATATCTTCAGCCTCAAAGATGGCTTCTGACAAGAGGATTTCAGTTTGTGCAGCTTTGATGAGCCGCACCTGGTCCTGGGACAGCTTTGGCTTTATCCTCTTGGAATGTTTATGAACAGTATGCTGAACATATGCTTCAGCCAGCTGAGCAAATGCTACGGCAAAGTGACAAAGAACGCCACACGCCCACGGTTGCCGCATCGCCAATGTGGCAAACTCTCGATGTGGCCAGGCATTGGCCACACCAGTCGGTCGAGCACCCGTCGGTCGAGAACTGCACACAGCCGGGCCACGGCGACCCAAGAAGCGCAAGGCACAGTCTCGGTAGTCAAAGCCTCAGCTTCTCCCAAGAGGTCTGACTTTTTTTCAACCCGCCCATTCCTTGAATAAGTAGGCGTTTATACTTGAATATATAAGTTGTCGGTTGTTCTCTTTGTCCTTTTTTAATGCCCGCTCTGCCCCCCCTACTACTTACTTAAGTGCGTGCCTACATAATTAAGGTACTGAACGCTCCTAGCTACTGGACGCAGGGGAGCCTCCTCGAAGAAGCGCTCGAACCAATGATTTGGTTTCTAGATTTTGAGGAAGCTTCTCTGCTGTTGAAGCGGTTTAGTTTTGAGGTTCGAAGCGGTTTAGTCTGCAAAAACACAAGCAAACTCACTGAACTTCGACTATGTCAATACGTGGACGGTCGTGTTGACGACTCAAAGTTACCCCTGCATCTCTAGTCTCTAGTAGCGATGCCAGGAGCCCCTAGTAGCGAACATTGCTCCTAGTAGTAAGGCCAGGAGCCCCTAGTAGCGTCCTTGCTCCTAGTAGCGATGCCCTTTGCTTCTAGTTTTGTTTAATCTTGAGGATCTGAGCTTGTGGGTGGCTTACCTCTTCAACTTCCATTCAAAGTTTTTTCCAGCACAGGGCGGAAAATGTTCTTTCTCGCCCTTGCGACTCTCCTGCCCTTTCCTGGGTTCACACGCAACCACATCATGTCATGCAGTAGTCAAGCAGCATTTTTGTAGAGGAGGCCACAAAAGAGTTGCTATAGTAGTTACAATTGTTCGAAAACAAAAAAATACACCACCATAGGCCCCAAACAGTTTGTGGTTTTCAAAACCGGAACACTCTGCAACTAGAGCTTGAGACGTCCAGAACTGGGAGACAAGGATTGCAAGGCAGAGGCGGCCACAGCAGTCCAGAGCTGGGAGACAAATGTGAACACAGGGAGACAAATGTAAAGGATTGCAAGCGACACGCAGCCCAGAGCTGGGAGACAAAT